TGACAGGACGGAGACACGCAGCTCCTCCCGCTGTGATGCAGCGGGAGCAAAACACACACTTCAAGTCAGATCATCACCCTTAGCTATTTTAATTACCTCTCAAACTACCTAAACTAGTTATAAATATGTTTATTTTGTACTGTCGGCCGGGTCACTCATTACTGGATCAGCTGCTGCATGAGACAGACACTGACACTGTCAGAAGAGAGGACAGGCTCCGTGTATTTTATTATTATATATAGTCGTAATTCATTTGTTTTAAAGCTTAATAAATAACAAAGAAGACCTTTGACCGGCACTTCTCAAATGACATTGAGAAACGGCCCACGTCTCCCTTTGTCTTGTGCCAGTTCGTCTTGTTGTGTCACGCAGACTACCAGCATCTTTAGCTAAGCCAGGATCATTGATTTGCCCAGTGCCTTTTCCTCTATTGAGTGTTTTGTTTTATTAGCTTTGTTACATTTTCCTCTAGTGAGTGTTTTTGTTTTACCACACCTTAAGTGACTTTTTTTCCTCTAGTGACGGATCTTTTGTTTGAAACCTTGTATACTGTGTCAAACTATGGCAAGCCGATTTAGCTTTTATTCATTTCTGGAGGATATAAAAAAATCTATTCTTAGGCCTACTAGTAAGAATGTGAATTCTTGATATCAGAAATGCAATTTTAACTAGTGAGATTTGCATCGTTTTTCTCATTTATTTCAATGGGAGTTGGAATTTGAACTAGTTCAAATGCCAATTTCTGATATCAGTAATTCAATTGTTGATATCAGAAATACAATTTGAACTAGTTGAAAATCCTTTTTTATGATATCGGGAATTCAATTTCAACTAGTCGAAATGCCAATTGTTGATATCAAAAATACAATTTGAACTAGTTCAAAATCCTTTTTTGATATCAGGAATTCTATTGTTACTTGTTACAATTGAATTCCTGATATCAAAAAAATCTGAAATTGGTATTTTTACTAGTTCAAATTTAATTGTAACTAGTAACAAATTAATTACTGATATCAGAAATTGGCATTTGAACTAGTTCAAATTCCAACTCCCATTGAAATAAATGAGAAAAACGATGCAAATCTCACTAGTTAAAATCGCATTTCTAGTTACAATTGAATTTGTGATATCAAGAATATGCATTCTAACTAGTTAAAATTCTATTTTTGATATCAGAAATAAACATTATACTAGTAAGAATTGATTTTTTGATATCCTCCAGAAATGAATAAAAGCTAAATTGGCTTGCCATAGTCAAACACAGTAAAGGCACAAAAAAAAAACTTCTGTGTTAAGTTGTGCGTTTGGGTTCATGCCTCAGAGTTCGGTATTTCCAATTTCATGCCTTTGAAAAACACAATCTGGTCCTTTTACAAGAGACAGAATATTCTTATAAAGAGAGCGTCCTTAGTATTTTAAAGAAGTCAGATGACCACCGCACCTACTGAACAGACATAAAGAAGAAGACCACAACAAATACAATATACAGGCCTGAGGATTACAGATTTAATCAAGGCTAGGTCTATGGAACAGTATAGTTTACTATATCATATATATATAGATATAGAGATATAATAGTATAGTGGAGTTTATTACATAATTAAAAGCATACATGTTTTTTTTATGTAGTAAATGAACATCTGATTTGTTTAACCCAAAACTAATAATAAAAAAAAGCATCTTGTTCTCTCTCGTTTCTCTTTCTCTTCTATTCTTCCCTCTAAGCCAGAGCTCCTCTGTCTAGAGTGAATGGATGTTACTGCTTTGTGCAAGATTGAAATGGCTGTTCTGAAATGAGGTCTCCCTTTATGTAGAGAGATACTTAACAATATTTGGTCAAATGAATGAAAAACTGAGGGACATTTGATACAACAAAAGAATATAAAAAGTACCTTTCTCCCATTTGGTTTCAGTTTTTCATGTATGGAAATAAAAATGGAACCAGTTTAACTTACAAGAACACTTTTGTCACACTCAACACAATGTAAAAGAGTACAAGATGATAGTATCAAAAGTTAACCTGTTAAGCCCGGAGCCTGTTTTTCAGGTCTCAGGCTCGAAAATTACATTCCCAGAACAAATTACTATATCTTCATTTCTAAAAGGGATAAATTAATAATCTTTTTTCTCAAAGCAATGATAAACCTGTGAGTTGGATGTAGAAAAATCAGAATCAATATAGAATTTTTTTATTTTAAAGTACATTCAGATTGAACATAGTAAACATTTTTAAATTATAGTGTCCGTCCAAAAAAAAACATTACTTATAGTGAAAACCACCCTTGAATGATGGGATAGTAGACTAAAAGCTATAACATATAATAAGTACCCTGTATCAAGATTGATGTAAAACAAGTGACATTTGAGCTTTTTAGAGAGGTTTAGCAAAATAAAACCCACTTCTGGGGTCATTTGGGTGGATTTGCCATATCTTTTGCCCCCCTCGTCGATTTTGATGATTGACACCTCTTTTGAACCACTAGAGCAGGGGTGGGGAACCTCCGGCCCCCGGGCCGTATACGGCCCGCGAGACCATTTGGTAAGGCCCTCGAGGTAATTTATAAACACACGCAAAAAAGAAAAAAATTAAAGAATCTAGACCGCAAAATAATTAAACAAGCGAGTGCCTGTTTTTCCTGGCCAAGGTCAGGGTCCTTGAACACAACACGAGCCTAACGTGTCATTACGTGGTATATGTCTCGTCTGACAGGGGTGCAGTTCTGACGGAGAGCACCAGAACGTCGCTCCGGCACTTCACAAATTGCAGTACCCATAAGGAGCCGTACACATGCCGCAGTTTTTGCGTGGCTGTGTCTTTAGTTGAAAGCCCAGTGGCGATCTGTTCATCTGTCATACTGATCATACAGTCAATAACTTTGTTGTTATTAGCATCTGGTTAGCTAGCTATGCTAACGAATATAAGAAGCTTTTTCTCCAACCAGTGAGGTAAAGGCACATCTTTATATGATCGTTATAGTTATAAAAAAATAAGAGAATAAAGTAAACAGGTATAAAATACTATATGACAGTAAAAAAAAGTTGTTATTAATAAACAAGAATACAGTTTGAAAGGGGAGTGATTTGTAAAATATCCATAAAGAAAAATAAAATCTGCTTACTGTTCTGTTGCATATGGGTGTTGAGAGATGTATCCATAGATCTCTTAATTTTGCTCTCAAAGTGCACCAGATTGATAGTTTTAACTTCAACATTTAAAAACAAATCTTCCTGGGGGAGTGTGCCCCCCGGACCCCCCTAGAGGAGGTTAGGTCCCCCCCCACTTAAATCATGTTCACATGGAGAGGAAACTAAATACTTTTGCACACATCTTGTGTCCATATCTTTCTGTTTTGGTGGTCATGCCACAACCGTGCACGTGCATGCATGCACGAGTCATGGTAAGATATCTGGATTAAGAGGTTGCTTTTTCTTTGTACAGCATGAAAGAAAGGTGAAATGAATGGACTGTGATTTTAGTATTCTTAAGCAGAGGTCCATAATTTGTACGGCCTTCGGAGGATGTTGAAAAAATTGAAATGGCCCTTGAGAGGAAAAAGGTTCCCCACCCCTGCTGTGATGAAGGTAACTTCGTCACTGTGGACTGATGGCTTCGGGCCTTGTATTATTGCACTTTATTAAACAACTTCCCTTTGCACAGAAATGTCACTCAGCACTTTAGTAGTGAACAGTTTTGCACTTTATTAGCGTGATTGCACAGTACCGTTTGGCATTGCATATTTGCACATTGTACATAATTTATACTAATTATTGAGATAGCATTTATTAACTGATTAAACCGTATTAATTGAAATGTCGTCTGGCAGATGCTGGTCGGGTCCTCGGTTCCGCCTTGAAAAGATAGGGGAGTTACAGAGAGCGCCGAAAGTGTTTGCTGGTGTAGAATGACAGCGGTTGAGAGTAATCAGGGTGCAAATAATATGTGAGGGTGTGGAAATCATAGCGTTAAGTGGCATTAATTGTACGAGTTGCCACTGTGTGGAGTTGACATGTCACTCCCCCATGTCTGTTGCTGCTGATTGTGTGCACCTGGTGCCCTGTGTTGTCTCCTCCCCCCTCACCTGTGTCTTGTTGGGTTAATTAGTGTGGGTATTTAGGCTCTGTGTTTCCTGTTTTGTAATGTGGTGTGAGATGCTTGTTGCTGGTGACTGTGGTCATATGAGACAGTAAGATTGAGGCTGTGTCGTACCACAAGGAGTAATAAATGCCCACACCGGGTTATATTTGAACTCTCTGCCTCTGCCTCCTTGCTTGGTCGGGCTGCTCAACGGTCAGCTTCACACCTGCGTTAGAGCCAATAGAATCAAAGGGGAAGTTCCTAAATCCACCTACACGTTACCATTGAGAAATGAGAGTGATGCACACGCAGCTTGCCCAAACCGAAAGCTATGTTGCGCTCTGAAAACTGAAAACTGAAAACTAGGTTATAGCCATAAATATGATGATGGATTATCAGTAATCATTTAAAAGGGAAACAGAGACATTGGATTAACCTTCAGCAGCGTTTTTATCGTTGTAATGCCATTGAACACAACTTTTGATCAGAAAGCAGCAAAGGTAAGACTTTTGGCTTAGTAAAGCTACGCTGTGTGTTGTCTGGGTTTGCCTGAGCTGCCGCGAGTTTTGGTCGCACAGTGATGATACTTATACCATTGGAATCTCAGCATTCAGATGATATCTTGTTTGTGCAGATCCGATGAAGTATAAAAGATCGCTAACGTGAGTTCTGTGCGAAGTGCGTTAGCATTTTATCGCTTAGTGCTAATTCAGAGGCTTGGCGTTAGACTTGTGTTTTGTTTCGGTCAACATGGTTCATATTGTCAGTTATCTGGGCTTCTTCCCGTTAAGTGGGTATGACACATTAATAGGTTGTTCAATGTTAAGAAGCCCTGAGACACAGTTTCGTGAAAGAAAAGCCTGCGGGGGCTTAACAGGTTAAAGACATTGGAATCACAAAACAAACAAGAAATCCACAGACTCCATCTGTTTAGAACATTTATTATGCTCTAGATAGAAAAACCTGAAATAATTAGCAATTTTCTATTAAACACTGCTTAGAATAACCTGACTAGTGAATGTTCAAGGGCAGGCCTTAATAGTGTGCGTCATTTACAAGATCTCTTTATGGGTATGTTATTTGTATCATTATTATGCTGAGATTATGAAAATCAGATTGGTGAGTTACTTATGGAGGTTATAAAGAGCAACAGAGTGGTCTTATTGTGGAGAGACATTGAGGACCGTCCGGATGCTGTGGAACAAAAGAAAAGAGATACACATTAGTTTTCTGTGTTGTCTTTGTGACACAAGAGGTAGGGAGTGTAAACCTACCATTTGCCATGCTTCATCAGTTCAATGGCGTCATTGACCTGGTCCAAAGTCATGTTGTGGGTGATGAACTCATCCACCTTCAACTTCTTGTCCATGTAGGCTTTAACCATTCCAGGCACGTCATCCCTACCCTTAAAACCTGTGCAACAAAATCACAAAATGAGACCAAAGAGACTCAACCAGAATAAAACTGTGTTTCAGTTTCAGGAGATGCATTAGTAAGCGCTGATAGCCATATTTGTCTCACCTCCGAACACAGAGCCCTTCCATGTCCGTCCAGCGATGAGCTGAAGCGGGCGGGCAGAAAAGTCCTCTAAGTCCGTCCACCCAACAATCACGCTGACACCCCAACCTTTCACACAAGACTCCAAGGCACTGCGCTAGAATGAGAAACAGCACAACCGACAAAGTCAGGGGGCTTGTTACCAGAAGGTGCTGGTCCAACTGTCTGGACTAGCTGAGGATATGTAGGCTGGGTAATTTAAAGTCCGATGGGTGGCAGTTGTGCTTGAAATTACACCTAAGTGTAAAAAAATACTTGGTCATTCGTACCCTGCAGTTGGAGCTATTATTGTTTTGTTTTATTCATGATCTGCTTAATCTATGGGATTGTCACCTACCATCTTAGATTTGGATCTAAGTGCACACTCCTGTATCATCTTAACTGATGTAATACCCATTCAGTATGTGCTTGTACGGCAGCTCCTTGGGATTAAAAGTTATATGTGCATCCATTTAAGGTAGCAATGCTAAAGTATATGCATCATGAGTGCAGAAGCTCCAATTAAAGTTTTATGGCCTCAATAATGTCATAGCCCAAAGAGATGTGCATGCCAAATGTTTATAACTTCGTGCAGGGCATTGAAGTCCCTCGGGTCCTCATCAACAGGACATGCCAACCCCTGAGTAGATTGGGCCAAGGGTTGACGAGATGAAGGTTGATGTAAATAGGAAATAAAAGTTACCATGACTGCCACACTCCCGACACATTCCAGGGAGAAGTCCACTCCTCCGTCAGTCATCTCAGACAGAACTTGGCTGATGGGTTTACTGTGATCCTTGGGGTTCACGAAGTCGGTAGCCCCGAACACCTTGGCCTTCTCAGCCTTCTCTGGATTGATGTCAACAGCGATGATCCTCTTGGCTCCTGCAGCCTGGCAGCCCATGACTGCAGCCAAACCCACGGCTCCCAGGCCGAACACAGCACATGTTGAGCCTGATTCCACCTAAAGTACCACAATTGCCAAATAACTAATAATAAAGTACTGAACCGATTTTCATGGCCAAGGAAGAACCAGTTACATTTGTGTGAGAAGTAACATCGTTTTTGGTCAACATGTCTCTTTAGGTCATATGTCAATGTAATGTGGAACTAATAATAACAATAATAACTTAATTTGTATAACACCTTTCATGCAAGGATGCTGCCCAAAAAAGAACAAGATGAGATAAAAAAGAAAACCCATCAACAATAATTCTCAATAAATGTGATAATAAAAGGAAGATTTTAAGTAGGCCTGTAATTAGTTAAGTCTCCAATGTACAAATCAGGCTTCTAAAATAGAGGTTTTACTAGAGCAGAAGGTAAAGTACCTGAATGCAGAGATTTTATTATCATTATTGTTGTTTCATGAGAGAGTAATTGAAGGCTGGATTACTCCTATGAGGCTTTTCGACCTGGCCAATCATTTTGATTGAAAAGTATTTTATGTAATAAATATTGTCAAGTTTACAGGCACATAATATTAATATTTCCCTCCATTACAGATACCTTAGCTGTATTAACTGCTGCTCCATATCCTGTGCAGATTCCACAGCCAATGAGACAGACTTTGTCCAGAGGGGCAGCAGGGTCGATCTTAGCCACAGCCATCTGGTTAACCACAGTGTACTCAGAGAAAGTACTGGTCCCAGAAAACTGCAGCACCTTCTTCCCCCTACAGGTAAAGCGGGATTCTGGGAACAACCTGTACAAGATAATCTCATGATGAGACTGAATTTGGGTGATGCTTCTGTCCCATTAAAGGGTTCACTAAAAACATGTAATAAATGTGAAAAAACAAACAAAGACTGTCTGTTCTGTTGTGATTTCAGATGGCACCCAAAGTTGTTACACTGATGTTGAACTAAAGGTTTCCGTCTTTAATTGTATGAACACCCCGAAGAGCTGAGGAAAAAGAGAAAATTGAAGGGTTGGCTGGAGATGTACGTTTCTGAACTCACCATGCTTTATCACACTGGTTGGTCCTTGGACTCTTACAGAAGCGACATTCTCTACACTGGGCTAGAAACAGAGGTATGACCTTATCTCCTGAAATACAAAAGCAGTGTTACCATATGACAGTCACAACAACTTTTGAAATGGTGTAAAAAGATAAAATGGATAAATTGCACAGATAAGAGTCAGTTTACATACTCATACACCTCCAGTGACAGCAGTATAACTATATTTCTAAACTTTGGACAGGCAAGCTGTTTTGAGTGTTTGCGCTAAGCTTCGCTTAACTTAAAGGTCCCCTATAATACTGTTTTTCATCAATATATTATAGGTCTCAGATTATATACAAAACATGTCTGGCAAATACCAAACAGATCATTGTAGCATGCCATAAACCCCTCTGTTTCAGCCCCGTTTAAAAAATGCTGATTCTCTGTCTGTTACTTTTTATGAAAATAAGGAACCACTCCCCACGCCCCTCTGAGAGATATTTGGTTAAAAATAACACAATGGTGCTCTAGGAGGAGATTCAGGTGATAAGGTGGGGGGGGGGGGTGTTACCTTGGTTGGTTATTCGCTAATGGTTACACAAGCCAAAAATCGTTATGACATCAGGCCAAAATCTGATCAGCTCATTTTCAGGCAGATTTTTATATAAATGGATCAGGACAAACAGAGAGGGGGTCTTGTTTCCTGAAACTTTCAGAATCTCTTTACACAGAGGGGACACATATTTATGTATAAAAGACATGAAAAAGTGAATTTTGCATAATAGGTGACCTTTAACACGCCTAGCTTTAGTAGTAGAACTAATCGGAAACACACCTGGCTTATATTCAGTGACTCCAGGCCCAACGCTCTCAACGATGCCAGCTGCCTCATGGCCGAGAACTGTTGGGAAGCAATCTTCATGAGTATTCTCCAAAAGCTGGTGCAGATCTGTGTGGCACACTGCAGTTGCCACAATCTGTACCAAAGGAAGTAAGCAAACATTGAAAACATTAAAGGGATTAAGGGGACAGACAGTGTTTACTTCAGTGGATTTAGGCAATAGCAAAGGTCTCAGATATATACAAAATATATAAAAAACATGTCTTTGAAGTGTTTTGCTCAAAATACCAAACAGATCACCCATTCTAGCCATGCCTCATATCCCTCTATTTCACTTCCTGTTTCAAAAGTGATGATTTTGGGTATAAAGCTTTTTAAAAAATGATAAAAAAAAGAGAGTCGGAGCTTATTCCTGCTCATGCGGGAGATTTCTACCGGCAGATACTGCCTTGATGAAACGCCATATCATGGATTATCAAGGATTATTTCTGAAACAGTATGGAGCTCAAAGGCTTTCTCTCTTGCCGGTTATACCACAAGGTGAGTTCCTTTTTATTTCCTGCTTCTTCACACACATGCTCTCTCCAGTACAGGTTAGCTCTGAGTGTTAGCGTGTCGCACTGGAACACACCGCAAAGACTTCAGCCGACGGCCAAGAAGCACGTACGAACTGTGCATGCGTGAGTGGCAATAACTCTCCTTACCAGCAGGCGGCGGTAGTGTGTATTCGTCATTCAAAAGAGGCAACAACCGGAAGACAGACTGCGTGATAACCAAGAGAAGAAGAACAGACTGCGTGATATAAACAAACAACAAATAGCGTGTGCGTTCTCTACAATGAGAAGCTCATGGGGCTTTCCCGAACCTGTGTCGAGAGCTGGAGTTAAATGAAATCTCAGATGTGCCTTCTTAATAGTTTCTTTGGGTCCCTCACTTCCGTTTCGCTTCTCATGCACTGATTCGCTAGCTGAACAGCCAATCAGAGTGATTTATTTTGCCGACTGCGGTTTTCGGCCGAAAAGGCGTCGGCCCGGCTGAAAAGACACACCTATCTGAGTAGGGCGTGTCGACGCTCGTCGTCAGCCTGACGCCCACCGACGCCGATAATCGGCCTGGTGTGTCCGTGCCTTAACACCCTTCACTTTTATCAGCAGTTGTCAGGCAGGACACTGGATTGGATCTTGAGGGGATAAAGCATTAATTTACTTTACTTTATTGCTAATTTCAAATTCAACATCACATGTAAGCTCTCTCTTCGTCCAGCACACTGGCTGTGGCTAGGCACTGATTTACTGACATATTATTACTATTAAATATAAAGGGTTAGTAATAATAAATACATTTAATCTGATTAATCAGATCCATCAGATTAATGGTAAAAACTTAGAGGACATTATTCAACTTCTGAAATCCTCCTCCTGCTGCCTTGATATTATTCCAACAGGATTTTTCAAAGATGTTTTTCCTTGCATGGCCTCAGATCTACTTCATATAGTAAACACATCTCTTCACTCAGGTATTTTTCCAGAGGCCCTGAAAACTGCAGTCATTAAACCGCTCTTAAAAAAGAATAATCTAGATGCCTCAGTAATGAACAATTACAGGCCAATATCAAACCTGCCATTTCTAGGTAAAATCATTGAAAAAGTAGTATTTCAACAGTTGAGTAACTTCTTGCATTTAAATAACTGTTTGGATGTGTTCCAGTCAGGATTTCGTCCAAACCACAGCACTGAGACTGCTCTTGTAAAGGTCTTCAATGACATCCACTTAAACACAGACAGTGGCAGAACTTCAGTGTTAGTATTATTAGATCTCAGTGCTGCATTTGACACTGTTGACCACAACATATTACTAGACCGACTAGAAAACTGGGTGGGACTTTCGGCAACAGTTCTAAATTGGTTTGAGTCCTACTTAAAGGACAGAAAAAACTTTATTTCTATAGGTAAATACACATCTGAGTTGACAAATATGACATGTGTGGTACCTCAAGGCTCCATCTTGGGGCCTCTTCTCTTTAACATCTACATGCTACCACTGGCTCAGATAATGAAAAACAACAAAATAAGTTACCATAGCTATGCGGATGACACACAAATTTACGTAACAATTTCACCAGGAGATTATGCTCCAATTCAAACACTGAGTAAGTGCATTGAACAAATCAATGACTGGATGTGTCAGAACTTTCTCCAATTAAACAAAGATAAAACTGAGGTAATGGTTTTTGGAGCCAAGGCAGAACGTATAAAAGTTAGCGCTGAGCTTCAGTCTGCAATGTTCAAAACAACAGATAAAGCCAGAAATCTAGGTGTAGTCATGGACTCTGACCTGAGTTTCAACAGTCACATTAAAACAGTTACTAAATCAGCCTACTATCACCTAAAGAACATATCTAGGATTAAAGGACTAATGTCACAGCAGGATTTGGAAAAACTTGTCCATGCTTTTATCTTCAGTAGACTCGACTACTGCAATGGTGTCTTTACAGGCCTCACTAAAAAATCTATTAGAAAGCTGCAGCTAATTCAGAACGCCGCTGCTCGAGTCCTCACTAACACTAAGAAAGTGGATCACATCACTCCTGTTCTGAAGTCTTTACACTGGCTTCCTGTGTGTCAAAGAATAGATTTCAAAATATTGTTGCTGGTTTATAAAGCTTTGAATGGTTTAGGCCCAAAATACATGTCTGACCTACTGCTAAATTATGAACCATCCAGAACCCTCAGGTCTTCAGGGACTGGTCAGCTTTCTGTCCCCAGAGTCAGAACTAAACATGGTAAAGCAGCATTCAGTTATTATGCTCCGAATATCTGAAACAAACTCCCAGAAACCTGCAGGTCCGCTGCAACTCTTACTACTTTTAAATCCAGGCTGAAGACTTTTCTTTTTGCCGCTGCTTTTAATTGAACTATTCACATCTTAAACTGCACTGTAACTTTTAACTTTTATCCATGTATTTTTTCTTTTAATGTTTATTTTATTATCTTTCCTTTTTAATGACTGATTTTAAATGCCATTTTTAAAATGTCTTCCATTTTTGTAAAGCACTTTGAATTACCTTGTGTTGAAAGGTGCTATATAAATAAACTTGCCTTGCCTTGCCTTGCCTTGATAGGAAACATTTCCCATGCATCTTGCTTTCCAAGCTAAAAGCTAGGTTTAGCTAGCAAGGAAACTAGTATTTGTTTTGATAATGATACGTGCCCCTCCCCACCTCAACCAATATGTCTAAATACAGTCACTTATGGCTCCAAAAACAAAATGGTGACGGCAAAATACTCTCTCTTGAGGATTCAGTATCTGGTGGTACAAACCAATGTGTGACTTAACAGTCAACACTTCCACTACATTTGTTCAGTCTACGGCAGGGGTGTCCAAACTACAGCCCAGGGGCCAAATGCGGCCCGCGGGCCATTTTGAATCGGCCCTCAGCAAATTAAAAAAGTATAATGGAGTATGGCCCACAAATGAAACTTGTGCTTGTCTTGTATTGTACTTCTTAATCTGAGGCTCCTGTTTTAAGGAATGAGCTGCAAATTAAATAAATGAAACCCTATGGAGAGCTGTGATGTAGGCTGTTTTTTTTCTTAAAGCATATTCAAGTATTTTGAGTGGCCCAGCCCTTTGTATATTTTTCTGTATGTGGCCCTCAGTGAAAAAAGTTTGGACACCTCTGGTCTACGGTAATTTACACTTCTATGTCTACCAATTAGGGCTGTCAAGTTAACGCGTTAATAACGCGTTAACGCAAAAAAAAATTAACGCCACTAATTATTTTAACGCGATTAACGCATGTGTATTTTTTGTCCTCGGCCGCCCCGCCCCATAGTTTCAGAGCGCATCAAGTTTAAAATACCATCTACAAGCTGATGCTGACAACCCCGCTCCTGCCGCCCGCTTGTGGCAGACCACACTTCCACGCTCACCGGCAGGCCCGGACTGGAGTGTGTATGTGTGGCGCGACTCGCGCGAGCGAGGCACACCTTACGTGTTGTTGTTGTTAGCATCTGGTGCTAGCTAGCTGCGCTAACGGATATAAGGAGCTGTTTCAATGACATTTCGCCGACAACTGTGCCGAGCACTTGACTTTATGCAGGTAGCCAGACAGTGGGACATTGTACGAAAAGTCAGCACACTCAGCACGGATAGTACGCGCCAGCCGCGGCGCCAGGATTTCAATTGTGGGTGGGCCAATGTCATTTCGGCTGGGCCTGTTCTAATAGATGTTTCTCGTTAACAAAAATGTAATAAAAAGAAATGCCTGCATAACATTGTAGGCAACTATGTAATGCATATTTCCTATAGTAAAGACACTTTTTCAAAACCCTTCTCTTTTAAACATTTTCACTTATGAGAAGCTTAAATATTATTTAAATGATTAAGCACGCCGCAATGAGTGAAAATAAATGTTATACAGCATGTTATTTAGTTTTGGTTCACAATACATGTATACGTTTAGAAACAAAGAGCATACAACGGCAGAATATGGAATAATGAGCGAACACCAGAGGCCTGTACTACGAAGCTGGATTTTCGCTTAGCCAGCTAAATTCAGGGAAATCTCGGGCTTTCCGGTCCTACGACGCTGGTTCTCTTTTTAGCAGGCTAGATTTCCATGGTAACTTATGCTGAGCGGCAAACCTGCTCCGGAGCAGGTTAGGTGGCAGGCTAAGAGATCAACTCAGTGAAAGCACTGCCTGCTGACCAATCAGAGCTCCGTGTGCGGAGTTTAAAGCGATCAATTCATATGACAGGAGGAGAAAGGAAATACAGTTTAAACTGCCGTTGCAGGAAAGACGACCGGCCAAAATCAACTGACTGTGTGAACGTGAAAATTAATAGAATATCCCCTCCCATCTTCAGAGCAATCTGACTATTATAACATTAGCGTTAAGAAAGCTTACTTAAATATCTGCCACGACATAAGTAACCGGATCAGAGTAACATTAAAGGGCCCATGTCATGGCCATTTCCACTGATCATAATTACATTGTTGAGGTATACTAAAATAGATTTATACTGTGCAATTTTCCAAACTCACATTGGTTTCGCATACAGCATCTCTGTCAAGCATGTGTATTCAGCAGTATTCACTTTCTCCACTAAACGACTCGTTGGAGCTCTTGCCCC